AATGTTGGTGCTGTACACAACCGCAGCTAATGTTGTGCTGTACCACAACCGCATACTGTTGGTGCTGTACCACCACAGCTAATGTTGGTGCTGTACCACAACCACAGCTAATGTTGGTGCTGTACCACAACCGCAGCTAATGTTGGTGCTGTACCACAACCACAGCTAATGTTGGTGCTGTACCACAACCGCAGCTAATGTTGGTGCTGTACCACAACTTGTCTTGTCATTACTCGAACCTTAGTTAAATACAAGTATATGTTTTTATCTTGAGGTATTTTGGTCACACACACACACACACACACACAGAGCAAGAGAGAGGGCTGACAGGTGGACAGATAGAAAGAAGAGAGAGAGAGATATTGTTAAGGAAAGAAAGGTACTAAGTCGAAGGAGACAGACAGACAGACAGACGGACGGACGGACTGACGGACGGATGGACGGACGGGTAGATAGATAGTGATAGATAGATAGATTGTTTGTTAAGGAAATAAACGTAATAATAAGTCGAAGATAGACAGATAGATAGCTAGACAAAGACAAAAATAAAGAAACCATTAACCCACAAATAATAATAAAAATTAATACGACTAAAACGTTTCTATAATTATATACTTTTTATTTTAATGTTTAGTATTTTTTTCGTAATTTTTCACCCAAAGTAAGAGAAGGAAAATGAAGCTTCAGTGAGCATCAAATGTCACGATATATCGGTCACTCCAACTGGCTGACGTGTATAACAGACCCAAGGCAGGAGACTGATTGTTGACTGTGTGTCTCGTGTTGTATTGGTAACTAGAGAGAGGGGGGGGGGAGAGAAGGAGATGCAATGGTAGGTAAGAAACGTGAAAATGAGGTATAGAAAGAGAGTGAAATACAAATAGAGCTAGGGTGAATGGGAGAGAGAGAGAGAGAGCAGATATAGGACACATGAAAGACGTGTCTATATATATATATATATATATATATATATATATATATATATATATATATATATATATATATATATATATATATATATATATATATATATATATATATGCAAGTAAATCACTGTAGTGCTTGTGATCTAGGTATATGCTGATAACCACAAGGAAAGAAGAAAACACGAAGTTCCCAAGCGCTTTCGTGTAATTCACATCTTCAGGGGTGAGTACAGACTAGAGAGAGTAATACAAATCAAGGTGTATATATACAGAGGAGGGTGAGACCAGGTCCACAATGGTCAGGTATTAGGTAATGACCCTACTAATCTTTAAATAGCACACAACGGTTGGTGGTCAGGTCAGATGGTCAAGTGACCCGGCCTTCTCACCTGATCACAAATCTTCTTAATTACAAAATTGTCCAGCTTGTACATGCCGTTACTCAAATTCATGTTGAATGCTTCGGTATGTTTAATAAGACTAGATTCTATGATGTTCCTACTATCAATTGAATTACATGGTAATATTGAGGAGGCATTATCCCAGTCAATGCAATGCTTGTTATCCCTCAAATGAACAAACAGAGCATTGGATTCCTGGCCTGTCCTAACACTGTATTTGTGTTGTTTAATTCTAGTTGCAAGATCTTTACCTGTCTGGCCTAAGTAAAACATATTACATTCCTTGCAAGGAACTTTATAAATGCAACCAATTGTGTTGTTGGGGGAGTTCTTGATTAACATTTGTTTAACAGTGCATGAGTTTTTAAATGCCACATTGACGTTCCAGGTTTTTAGCTGTGCAGGAATGTGTGAGAAATTTTTGTGAAATGGTAATATTAAGATATTCTTATGGTCATGGGTGGGCTTGGGATCAGTTCTATAAAAAGTTTTCTTAGTAATGTTTAAGCATTTGTCTATGAAAGATCTAGGGTATTTAAGGTTTGAGCCAATATTATATATATATTTGTATTCCTCATCGATGAATCCCGGACTGCAAATTCTCAAGGCACGTAAAAACATTGTTGAAAATACTGACTGTTTGACTTTATTATGGTGGGCAGAATAATAATGAATGTATGAACACACATTAGTTGGTTTTCTATAAATACTGAACTTAAAAGTGTTACCTATTCTGTGTATCAGACAGTCTAGGAATGGCAATTTACAGTCATGCTCTAATTCCACAGTGAATTTGATCGAGGGGGCTAAGTTGTTAAGTTGTGGCAGGAAAGCTTTTAGGTCCTCATTACATGGCCAGAGACATAATACATCATCAACATATCTAAACCAGACTGCTGAAGGTGGTAAAATATTACTTTATAGTTTCTTTTCAAAGAATTCCATATATAGGTTGCTTAATACAGGTGAGAGTGGATTACCCATTGCCATACCAAATTTTTGAGCATAATATTCCCCATTGAATTCGAATTTGCAATCCTTAATACATAGTTTGATGAGTTCGATGAAGTCGTCTTTCGAGACGGGCAGTGAAATGTTATCCAGGGAATCTATGAGGAACTCTAGTAAATCATCAACTGGGACCTTTGTAAAGAGTGACGTTACATCAAAGCTGACCAGTTTAAAATCATGATTAATGTGTAAGTTATTGAGTTTATCAACCAGATCCATATTATTCTTGATATTGGAGTTAGAAATGTTGCCAACTAGGGGATTTAGTAAAGAAACTAACCATTTAGATAGTTTATAAGAGATTGACCCAACTGAGCTAATGATGGGTCTTGCTGGGTTATTGGGCTTGTGGGTCTTGATTACACCGTACATGTATGGCAGTGGAGGGGACGTTGAAGTAAGATGTTTAATGAGAGTAGCTTTGCCTCTCAATAGGGACTTCAGTTTTTTGTTGAACTGGGTGTTGACAGTGTTGAGAGGATTATTTATGAGTTTAGAATATGTTGTAGTATCACATAAAAGGTCATTCATTTTAGAGATATAGTCATCTTTGTTTAAAATCACTACTGTGTTGGCTTTATCTGCTTTAGTGACATGTAGATCCTTATTTTTCTTAAGGGCTTGGATTGCTTTGGTGAATCTTTCTGGACAGTTTGGAACACAAGGCTTGGACATAGATGCATACACAACACCTTTACACATGTTCACTTCTTCACTTGTCAAATTACTGAATTTCTCCAAATTGCAAAATGCTCTGGCTATGTCAACACTGTCGACTCCCTTGTTAGAACCATCAAAACTTAAACCATAGCCGAGGGCACACAAGGTATCATTGTCTAGTTGTTTAGAGGAGAGATTCACTACACAGTTGTTATTGGCATCCTTAGTCCAATCACTATTTCTAATAAGGAGTGCCAATTTGTGGTCTATCTTGGCTTGAAGATCAGAACGCTCACGTCTCAGGTTATCAAAACAGTAGTCCAACATGAACTTTTTCCAATAACTCGGTATGGTCATATTAAAAGCACGCTTTTTTTGTCTTACAATACGGAAGGCTTCATCCACTTCAATTTTCTTTATTTCAAAATGTTTCTTAAGGATGATTTCTTGGAACTCATCAAAGGGGCGGTCAGACATCTTCAGGACACGTTGTGGGAGGATTGATCTAGGCATAACTTTTTCACTGAGGCATGTCTGGAGAAATTTCAAACGTATTTTCAATTTGTGGGCCTTGATCATCGAAGAGGAGTATTCAGTAACGAAAGGAGACAGTCCAGGACAGCTTGTAGAGAGGATGAAGAAGTGGCGCGTGGAATCCATTTATGCAAGTAAATCACTGTAGGTGCGCGTGATCTAGGTATATGCTGATAACCACAAGGAAAGAAGAAAACACGAAGTTCCCAAGCGCTTTCGTGTAATTCACATCTTCAGGGGTGAGTACAGACTAGAGAGAGTAATACAAGTGGAGGAGAGCAAACGGAAAGGGTTGATTTGGGCGAGGGTAGGGAGTGGAGAGGATGGGAGGGGAGGGGATGGGGTGGGGAGAATAAATAGGGGCGAGGAAGAGAGGGAAAGGGGGGATGGGGAAGATAAGGAAAAAAGAATGGAAGAATATGGAATAGAAGGAAAAGGGAGTAGGAATTGGTAAACCAGCATCACTACAGATCGGTAAAGTAGTTCCGAGATTCTCGTGCGGACACACACACACAGACATACTTCTTTGTTTTATGTAGATAGATGCAATTATACAGTAGCTAAAACAACTATCTGTGCATACTTTGTGGGAAACTATGAGACCATGGACGGTAAGTTTTGGTATATGAGGGCTGTCACTAGTAGCACGTAAAATTTCGGAGCATATCGACCCCCACCTGCACAGATAGTTGTTTTAGCGACTGTACCTTATAATGTGTGTGTGTGTGTGTGTGTAAGATATTGATATTGAAACAGTTTATTTAGCCAGAAGAACACAGATACAGAGTCGTTTAAAAAAAATCACAATATTAACATGGCTGAGCCAGTTAAGAGCCTGACCTGCCCCTGATATATACTGTACATTTATCTCAAGGAGGTATTATGTAACATTTAGTATCATCAGGAATAGTTCATATAGCATGGTGGTAATAACAACATGTTACCTCGGTTATCACTTCGATATTTATTTTATTTTTATTTTTTTGCATTTATATTCTAAGTATATACATAATTTACAGAGGAAATTTAAAAAAAAAAACTAAATGTGGAAAGGGAGGGAAGCAGTATAACATGGGTAAGGTGGAACAAGAGGACAGAGCTGTCAGGATTATGTCTAGTTTGCAAACATATTTTTTGCAATGGTAATTTCTTATCTATCTACATAATAAACGGTTTTGGCGGTACAATAAAAGAGGGTATATAAAGAAGGTATTAGAAGATACTGTTTATTAATACCTAGACAAAAGATATTTTTTAAGAGATGGTGTGTGTTAGGATTTGGGTTTTACAGTTTGGGTGAAGAATAAACTTAACGCAGCACTTATAAGGAGCTTGAACTTCATAAGAGAGACGCCACTCAGTTGACCTGATACAGTGAGACCAGGTACTGGGTGGGTCGTGGCATAGGTAGGAGTATAAACCGGGGCTGAGGCATAACCACTTGGATGGGGTGTTGCGTGACGTTTACTTGGTTGTGGCGAAGGAGTCCCCGGAGACGATGAAGAAGGTTCGGCAGAGATATGCGGTGATAAGGGTTGTACTCCGTGGCTTGGAGGGCGAGGGCAAACACGTCTGGGTGGTAGCCGGGTGCCTTGACGGCCAACTTGGACAATAAAACCCCATAGGAGTATGTGTCCGAGGCCCTGGTGCTCTCTTGGCCCAGACACACCTCGGGGGCCATCCAGGGGAATTTGTTGGGATCACTGTTACACCTAATGTTCTCGTGTGAGTAACAGGCCAAACCCACGTCAATAATACTGACTTGTGGGTTGGATGGTGACCCGTTGACGAGGATGTTGTCTCTCTTTAGGTCATTGTGGATGAGACCAGATCGGTGAAAGTCTTCAAGCTGCTCCCCGATCCGCAGACCCACCTCTATCAAGTTGTATCGAGTCTCCCGCTCGTCATGTAGCTGATTTAAGATGTCTTCCAAGGTGACGAGGCCCTTGAACTCTTGCAGAATAGCTGGTGGATCATTGCAGAAGCCGGTGACCCTTGGTGCTCCACCGGCCCCGTCGAGACGAAGCAAGGCTTCAGTTTCTTGCCAAAAACTTCTTACCGCATGAGACTTATGGGCAACCTTCAGGACTGCCGTCTCCCCACCCCACCGAACTAAGTAGGCTGTGCCATGTGTTCCTGTCCCTAAAACGCAAATGTTGTTTTGAACCAGATTCTCCACCTCGTCCCAGTACAGATCGCGCACAGCTTCCATGTTAATATTTTGGCCGATCACTTCCCAAGACCCAGGGACCTCAACTCAAAATTTGGGGTTGAACGAATAAAATACCTGTTTAGTTAGGTTGGAATTTGTGTTTGTGTCAAATAGTAAAGAGAAACTTTTGTGTTATAGTGTAAGGCTTGTGTGTGGTGAAGATGTGTTGTAGTGAACATGTATAGTACTAGTGTTGATAGTGAACATGTAGTACTAGTGTTGTGGTGAACATGTAGTACTGGTGTTGTAGTGAACATGTATAGTGCTGGTGTTGTAGTGAACATGTAGTACTAGTGTTGTAGTGAACATTTAGTACTAGTGTTGTAGTGAACATTTAGTACTAGTGTTGTAGTGAACATGTAGTACTAGTGTTGTAGTGAACATGTAGTACTAGTGTTGTAGTGAACATGTAGTACTAGTGTTGTAGTGAACATGTAGTACTAGTGTTGTAGTGAACATGTAGTACTAGTGTTGTAGTGAACATGTAGTACTAGTGTTGTAGTGAACATGTAGTACTAGTGTTGTAGTGAACATGTAGTACTAGTGTTGTAGTGAACATAAGAACATAAGAAACATAAGAAAGTGGGATACTGCAGGAGGCCGACTGGCCCATACAGGGCAGATCCCTTTCACACCCATCCCAGCACTTCCATGTGCCTATCCAACTTCGTCTTGAAGCTCCCTAGCGTCCCCGATCCTACTATAGCACTCGGTAGCCTATTCCACATATCCACAACTCTATTACCAAACCAGTGCTTGCCTATATCCTTTCTGAATCGGAATTTATCTAATTTAAAGCCATTTGTTCTAGTTATTTCGTTATTACTGAGCTTCAGAACATCTTCCATTTTACCCTTGTTAATCCCACTTACCCACTTGTACACCTCTATCATATCTCCCCTAACTCCCCCAACAACACAATTGGTTGCATTTATAAAGTTCATTGCAAGGACTGTAATATGTTTTACTTAGGCCAGACAGGTAAAGATCTTGCAACTAGAATTAAACAACACAAATACAGTGTTAGGACAGGCCAGGAAACCAATGCTCTGTTTGTTCATTTGAGGGATAACAAGCATTGCATTGACTGGGATAATGCCTCCTCAATATTACCATGTAATTCAATTGATAGTAGGAACATCATAGAATCTAGTCTTATTAAACATACCGAAGCATTCAACATGAATTTGAGTAACGGCATGTACAAGCTGGACAATTTTGTAATTAAGAAGATTTGTGATCAGGTGAGAAGGCCGGGTCACTTGACCATCTGACCTGACCACCAACCGTTGTGTGCTATTTAAAGATTAGTAGGGTCATTACCTAATACCTGACCATTGTGGACCTGGTCTCACCCTCCTCTGTATATATACACCTTGATTTGTATTACTCTCTCTAGTCTGTACTCACCCCTGAAGATGTGAATTACACGAAAGCGCTTGGGAACTTCGTGTTTTCTTCTTTCCTTGTGGTTATCAGCATATATATATATATATATATATATATATATATATATATATATATATATATATATATATATATATATATATATATATATATATATCAACACACCTGGTAAAGTGTGTGTGTGTACAGTTGCCCTAGTGACGTCAGTCAACGCGACTCTCTTAATGAGAGAGAAAAAAAATAAAACGAGGAAAAAAGGTGTTTAAATTTACCTGTACTAGGTTGAGGCGGTGTTAGTGCAAAAATCTTAGGTAATGTAAGTAACCTGTAAGATAAAATTAACATGAGAGAGAGAGAGAATGTCTGCCTATTTCAATCACAGTACAGTGCCAGATGAGGCGCGAATCCCTTAATTAATGTTTCTCACCTGCTTATGACCTGAACTATATGGAATGAATGGCTAAATAGATTGATATAGATGTACAGTCAGCCAAAGATGCACCGACCCCACCCTGGGTCTCGTGCTCACAATTTTACCTGGCAATACTTGGTAAAGGAAGGCTGTATGTAAAGGTGATTGTGATTGGTGGATCTGTTTCAGCTGTTTCGGTGATAAGAGAGTATGGCTTTCGCCAGGCGAGATCTACTGGTGATCTGCTCTCCTACTGCGTCCATCTTTGGTCATTCTCTCTTTGGGATTATGGGGAAACTTTCGTCGTGGCCCTCGACATCTCCAAAGCATTTGACAGGATATGGCACAATTCTTTGCTTTCTAAACTTCCCTCTTATGGTTTCTCTCCCCCACTTTCTCTAATTTTTAACTTCCTTGAGAACCGATCCATGGTAGTTGTTGTCGGGGGATCGATCTCTCGCTCTTTCTCTACCAATAGTGGTTCCCACAGGGTTCTGTTCTTTCACCTACTCTCTTCCTTCTTTTTATCAATGATTTACTTCACACTACGACGAATTCTATCCATTCTTACGCTGATGATTCTACTCTTCACTCTTCTTCACATTTTCCCCTTCCCCCTAATTCTCAAACTAAATCTGTTTCTAGAGCTGATATCATTTCATCTATCAATGCGAATCTGTGCAGCATCTCCGAATGGGGAGGTAGAAACTTGATTAAATTCAATAGTAATAAAACACAGTATTTACCAATTACACTTTCCAAATTAGATGATCTTCCACCAATCTCATTTCAGGATGCATTCATTCTGCCAATTCTGAAATATATATGCTTGGCTTCACCATTTCCTCTAATATGTCATGGAAGCCACACATCCACAACACTGCTAAAGCTGCCTCCCGAAAGTTGGGTATGTTGTACAGATGCCGTAGCTACTTCACTTCTGAACAGTTGGTTCAAGTTTATAAGGGATTCATTCGTCCTAACTTGGAGTACTGCTCTCATATCTGGGGTGGCTCTTCATCTGTCCAACTGTTCGATAGGGTGGAATCGAATTAAAGGCATTTCGTCTTATTAACTCTCCTCCTTTAGTTGATAATCTCTCTTCACTTTCTCTTCGCCGCAATGTTACTTCACTCTCTCTCTCTCTCTCTCTCTCTCTCTCTTTTACAGGTACTTTAACGGGCAATGTTCGGTGGATTTGGCATCCTGTGTACCGCCGGCAAGGCCGTGGGCTCGTAACACTCGTCTTGCCCGCGGTGCCCACCGTTTCTCTGTGGATGTCGGTCACACTAGGATAACCCGTTATAGTACCTCCTTCTTTCCTCACACAGCCAAACTGTGGAATGCTTTGTCTTCTGTGTTTCCATACTCATACAATCTGTCTCACTTCAAAAAGCTGGTTTCCGGTATCTTCGTGGTGTAAATTAATATAATATTTTTCTTTTCTATTTTTAATTTCCTTTCACACTTATTTTTTCACACCCTAGGCCCCGATGACCTGTGCCCGGGTGGTCTGGCCGATGACCTGTGCCCGGGTGGTCTATTCCCCGTAAAACAAAAAGTGTCTTCACAGGACACTAATGGTGATGGAGTTAGTTTAGATGTCTCAATTAATGTCCCTCACTTGCATGGCCTAACTCACCTGTTCCTCCTTACCTCGGCTCTACCAGGTATGTGTAACGCGAGCTGAGGTAAACTGAGAGAGAGATGATGAAAGGAAAAGAGATGAGAGATGGAGAGGATGTGGGAGACAAGGAGGAAGAGATTAAATGTGGAGTGGAAGGGAGGTGGAGAAGGAGAGAGATTACATGTTGGATAGAGAGGGAGAAAGAGAAAGAGAGAGAGACTGACAGACACAGACAGACAGACAGAGAGAGAGAAGAGAGAGGCCTTCAAACATGTACGCAACTCCCGCGAAAGTCATTAAAATGTTAGAGAGTTAAAACCACAAAAATACTCGTCTTTGCCAACAGATTAAACTGAACTGCACTTCAAAAACCTAAATGCACAACAAAAACACTGAGCAAAAATGTGAACTATTTTATATGAACTGACTCCAAAGTGAAAAGAAATATGGTGGAGCGGAAACGGAGGTAATTTTCTGTGACCAGAGGAGAGGAAAATTAGGGTCTTAAAGTGGCGGAAGTTTACAACAAAATGTGCCAGTCGACAAGGGCGCCGTAGGTCAAGTGAGCATGACACGGTTCCTCGCTCAAGAAATACTTCACTGAATATAACTCTCGATAACCTTTTGGCATTTTTTCTTTTTTGAGAATTGATATAAAATTTACAAACACACATTACCATACACATATATTCATGAATACATAACAGGCACAGGGTGAACGATAATCATTAAGGTAAACAAGTGTACACACAAAAACGTAAAACGTATTTCCATGTATGTATGTATATGTATGTATGTATGTATGTATGTATGTACAGTATGTATTCCGGGTCAAAGATCAAAGCCACAGTAGTGAACTCTGGTTATGAATACATGAAAATATTTCCATGAACCATTTACAGTTTTTATGTCTGAAAAGATAATTTTGTATATCTTTTTTTTTTCACGTAAATAAAATGTGTCTGTCGGTCTGTGTAATAATAGTAATAATAATAATAATAATAATAACGATTTATTAGGAAAATACACCAGACAAAGGCTAAAACTATACAGAAGACAGAAAAGACCTTACATACAGTGACACTAGGGAGTGACTCGACTAACAAAAGCTTTCAGTACAAAAAGGACAGTAAACGTGGTGGGATTATACAAGTTATTTTTACAGTGGTCAGGAAGGGTTTGTCGTGTACCCTACTGTGTAAAGTTTAGTCCAACAGCGAACTCGTGGACGAGGCCCTCACGTGGTGTAGCAGTATCTCGCTGTCACGTGGTGTTGGTGGGAGTTCTTAGTTCACCCGTGGTGTTGGTGGGAGTTCTTAGTTCACCCGTGGTGTTGGTGGGAGTTCTTAGTTCACCCGTGGTGTTGGTGGGAGTTCTTAGTTCACCCGTGGTGTTGGTGGGAGTTCTTAGTTCACCCGTGGTGTTGGTGGGAGTTCTTAGTTCACCCGTGGTGTTGGTGGGAGTTCTTAGTTCACCCGTGGTGTTGGTGGGAGTTCTTAGTTCACCCGTGGTGTTGGTGGGAGTTCTTAGTTCACCCGTGGTATTGGTGGGAGT